TCTGCTTCTGAGGAGTTCACTTCATCCCTGGCCCTAATGAGTAAACTGTGTGGAGGAAAAGGAGGCAGCAGCACACTCTTGTTGCTTCTCCCCTTGGAAAGGTCTTTGTTTTCTTTTAGTCTGACTAACTTTGGCACAGATATGTACAATCAAGGGTGATCCCACGGGGAAAACAATTCCCTTTGAAGCTAGCTCTGTAATGGCACCAGGCCTTGCTTGGCAGGAGGAAAGCTCTCTGGGGGAAGCACAGCAATTCTTCCCGGGTACCAGTTGCATTACTTCTGCAGCACACAGTAGCTACTCGGCAAGGCTTACCTTTCTATTTTGCTTTGAGCCAGTGACTATCTTCTGGTGCTCCACTGAGGTGTTTGTGTGTTATAAATAGCTTGTCCCTTCTTAAAAGCAAAGCAACCCTCCCCCCAAATACTTTCATTTGAACTTTTCTGATAAAGGAGTGTGGTTTTATTGCAGAAGGTTTTTGCAGAAGAAAGAGTTAAAAAAAGAAATTATCTGCTCAAAGTGTAGGCAGGATTAGCCAAATAAATAAGGAACTAACAAAGTGTGTTCATTGACTACTGTGTAAAAGTTGAAGATAACAAATGGGGATTTTTCAGTTTCATAGATGAACTAAACTGCAATGGGCATTACGTGGACCTTTCTATGTGTTGTTCTTTTTTTTTAAAGATGGAAATTTTGTTCTGACTTTAATTATTGGTTTAATTTACGTGAAAGATTGGTGTGCCTTACACTAGGGATTTGGTGGCCTTGCTCTGCGCAGTATATATGCTCTGGGAAGTACAGATTTGTTAAGATGTTGTGTGTACATTTATTTATATGCATCTGAATTTATGAGCTTGTAAACAAAATCAACAGTATGCCTTTATTTCTTTTTACAGCAATAGATGTTCTTCATCAGCTAGGCCTTGTGAAAGATGTTCAACAGCCCTCAGAGACGGCAGTGCCCTCAACATCATCTCTGTTACCTCAGGGTGTTCGTCTAACCGTATCAGGAGTCATACTCACTAGTGATGCACATATTGAGTCCCCCATCACTCAAGTCATACCATCAAATCTAGGGCATCAGTTCACCATATTAGTTGGGTTGTACTCTTACAGAGTAAATAATGCTTTCCTTTTCAGCATTAGGAACAAAAGTAGACTGCAGTTCGGTGTCCAGTTGCTACCGAGGAAAGTAGTGGTGTACACTGGAGGGAAGCAGTCCGTATATTTTGATTATAGTGTTCATAATGAACAATGGCATTCATTTGCCATTGACATTAGAGACAAGACTGTCTCGATATTTGCTGAGTGCGGAAAGAAGTACTATAGCAGGGAAATACTTTCTGAAGTGGAGACATTTGATTTGGATGGTTTATTTACCCTGGGAAGGATGAACTCTCACTCTGTCAGCTTTGAAGGAGTTATATGTCAGCTAGATATTATTCCCTCTGCAGAAGCCTCTGCAAACTATTGTAAATATGTGAAACAGCAGTGTCGCCAGGCTGAAACGTATCGATCTCTGCTAGGAGCTCCACATGTGTCAGATGGGCTGGATGTTTTTTCAAAGATGACTGATGAGAAAAACCAGTCAGAAGGCATATCAGCTGATAGAAAGGAAGAAACATCAAACATTCCTGTTACCAATGTTGCTCAGATTCACTTTCTATCAGAACACTTTGAGTCAAGAAATGTCTCTGCATCAGAGTTTCCAGAGGCCAAACCTCTGTTGCTGGAAGCTTGGCCTGAAACAGAACTCCAGGAAAATGTCAATCTGCATCTTCATCAGCAGGAGACGAGCGAAAAAAGAAACATCACTAAAGCCCCCACCGGATCATATCCAAATACTTTAGATAATACCACAGAAGATGCAGGCAGGCAAAGAGAGCCTTCTCTGATCTCCCCTGTAAAACAGAGTAAAACTAAAAGCAAGGGAATGGACAAAGCAAAACAGCATTTAGATGCACCAAGCAAAAAGCAGCAAGTCTTCAACACAACCCTGTATGGTTTGCCTGCTGACCTCTCTCTGGATAATCAGCTCGGTCCAGGGCAGGAAGGTGCATTTGATGCGGATGAGACTTATCACACAGAAAACAGTTACGGCATTGGTATTGATAATTATGCTTATGACTATGAAGATCTTGACAAAATGTTTCAAATGGAAAGTGTCAGAGGTCCAAAGGGGGAAACTGGACCTCCTGTAAGTTATCTTTACTACTCTTTTTACTATAATGCAGCAACATACATTTAACAGAGGCTTTGAAAGAAACCTCACAAAGCATGCCAAAGCTGTGACTGCAACTTCTCCCGGCTGTACTGTACAGATGTTTGTCTGCCTTAAGTATGTCTCTTTCCCGCCTGTAATTTTGGTGTAAGTGTTGTATATTTATATTTACTGGCAGAATACAAAGACATTCAAGACATTCACATTCTGGTGAAGTGGTAGGCAACCCAGACTTCTTTAAGTTTTGAAATGCAGCCAGATGTTTGTAACTGCTAATTATGGAGACTGCTCACTTAATAAAATTACAGGATAAATTCATACAGTACATAAATGTAGACACTGATCCATGAAAAGAACAACCAGGCTGTTTGGAAGACTGACATAGTTTTCTCAGTTGAGCAATGCTATCAAAATTCATGACTGTAGAAAGAGACCAGTTACAGAATCTAGACTGGTAAAACCATTTGTAACCTAAGGTTATGGGGTCATGCAGATCTGCGTGGAAAATTATTTTTAGAACAGTCTTACAAGATTTTGTGTAAACCCCATCATTTTTGTGTAAAAAATTGCTTACCTTTCAGGGTAAGTGATCCCTGAAACAATTGCAAATGCGCAGTTTTAATAGAAACCCATTCGTCCTTTCTTATTGTGTGCACAAGGCTCAACCTTTTTAATACATAAAAATGGGAGCAACATATATGAAGCTACAGACAAGAAAGAACAGCAGTTCCTGCTTAGCCTGGGAAATATGATAGTTAGTGCTTGTTTGATTTTTTTGGTTAAAATTTTTAAACCATAGCATGGAGTAGATAATTCCACTTGCTCTTTTTGTGTGTGTGCGCATTTGTGTGGTTATTACTGGAATGCAATTTGATTTGTGTTAAGCAGCTCCTCGTATATATTTGAATGTGCCCGTAAATTTATTGCATGTATTCTTTCGGCACTGAAATACTCATTTCTTAAGGTAGTCAGGAACTGAAAACCTATTTAAAAGTTCAACTTTAAACAGGATCCAGATGCAAAGGGATTGTTACACAGTTGAAAAAATGTGTTAACAAGTAATACACATTAGTCCAGGGGTGCTCTTGCTTAATCTTTTCTGAATGTGAAATCAGCCTTTTTCTTTCCTCTTTTTGTCCCTTATGATAGTATTTATGGGGGCATATCACTAAGTATGTAGCTGTCATCAACATGAGGTTAATTTCCATTTTTGGAGCTTAGGATGTTTAGTAACTGCTAATGGAAGCTTTTAGTTTTAACATATAGCTTGTACATTGTGATGAGTCAGTTACAGACAAGAAAGTTAAACCCATTCTTTTTTAGATGGCACAGAAATGGCTGTTGATAATGCTGTTGGTTGTTTGCGTTACTAAGAAACTCCAAGAAAATGCTGTGGGTTTTTTCTAGACACAGACACTACACATACAGTGTCAAAGATGATAGCTGATTTGGAGGGTTCAAAGATGTCTATATTACCATTTTCTGTGCCTCTCTTACAGACTGGGGATGCAGAAGTTTGTCTCATCTAGGAAGGCAGTTACAGTAGACCTTGCATTTGGTATGGTCTGTAGCAATGAATACGGTGCATTTATGCTGAAGCGTTTTGCTGGGTCAGGATTTAAATAACATGCCCAAGGTCTGAGAGATCTGTGGGAGAGCTGGGAAGTTAATCTAGACCTTTGTGGGCACTAGATTGGCTGAAGGGCCCAGCAGCACCCAGTGAAACAGAGGCAAAGCTAAAGCATTGTGTTGCCAGAGAGGTTGGTGCCCACTGGAGAAGAGGTCTCTGCATGGCCTTTTTCACACAAGCTTTTGTAAAGAATTGTGCTCCATGGAGGTTGCGTGGCACAGTACCTGCCACTGCTGTTGGCCTCAGACTTGCAGAAGTGGTCTTGGTTTGCTTTCTCAGTCTACTACACCCATGTAGAGAAGACCAGAGATAATCCAGCTTTTATCTGGGTGGCTCTAACACTGTAATACATAAGTACCCACGGAGTCTTATCAGTGCGGAGCCTAAAAACTCAACACTGAGGAACTTGCAAAGAAAAAAAAAACCTTACAGCAAAAAATCCTGAAGAGGCATGAACCGCCCCCCCCTTTTTTTTTTTTTTTATTAAGTTGTGGTTGGTTTGACCCTTCTTTCAAGATTTCAACACAGAAATGATGTTCCTTCTATTGGAGTTGACAGGCAAGAACTAGCTTTTGTGGCTTTTAAACTCCTCAGCTTCATTTTAGCTTTTAATCATCTACTGATTCTTGCCTTGTATAATTAGGCCCCTTGTATTCCATGATCCTACAGCTGTGGAATTCACCCACCGCTGCAAAGCAGGGCTGCAGAATGCAGGCTTTCATTTATGGATAGCATATGGAAAAGGGTACCTATTTCTTCAAAACTATTAAGACCCTGATTAAAATTCTAGCAGTTGCAATGACCAAAATCCCCTACACAATGTAAGGTGAGTTTAAAGTGGAACAGCGTGGTCTCCTGAACTGCTAGTTTAGAGGGGATGCTGCTCTATTCATCTGATGAACCTCTCCTTTTTGTGTTGCAGAGGGTGTTGGCAGTGTATAAAGGTTAAAAAAATAGATCTGGTGTGTATTTCTCAAACTGATATTCTTCACTGCACAGTCCTAAAGCCGTTTGCAGTAACATGATGCATAGTCTGTGCTGGTAGAAGGAGGGGTTGATGTGAGCTGAAGAGCTGATTTAGGTTAGTTGCTGGTAGGTAATTGCATCTGCAGGCCTATCTGCACAGGCTTTGGCTTCCTCTGAGAAATGAGCTAGGAATTAGTTTTCTCTATTGGAAAAGCTTTATGGATTATGAAGACACTTAGCCAGAAGGAGAAATAGTAGAAGACCAAAAGGTAGTGTTCCTTAAGCTATCTAGTTGGTAAGGAGAAGCAGTCTGGAGATACTGCCAGGAGGAATTGGAAACGCGAGCCCTGCATTAGGCGGAATTGAGTCCTGGATGAGATGCCCTTATTCCAGCCAAGAAGTGTGAAGGTGAGAACCCTGAAAGAGGGCAGTTCAGAAGTCCTAAATGTGGTGCTAAATAAACAGCTGTAAGGGTAGTGCCAGCAGAGATTTCACTCTTAGCTTATTTCTCCGTTGAACAAAATTGCTTGCTGAGGCTCTCCCTAGCCACAGGGGATATACTGGGCAGGTAATGACCTTCATGCATTTTAGCTCTGCAGGTATCCCTCACGTTTCCTTACCCAAGCTGAGAAATCAATCTCAGTATCTGCTGATTCAGATAAAATTAAGATTCTTTCTGGTTTGTTTTTAGTAGCAAAAAGATAATGTTAGTCTTCAATATTTAAACATTTAATTCACCTGAAACTGATGCAGTTTCCCTATCTTCTGCACAACAATATTGAAAAGCTTTAATCCATAACCCAAAGCCATATATATATTCCTCTGATGTTGTCGCGTTGCTTTGGCTGTTGTAGGAATTCTTGACAGAGAAAGGGAAAGACTTCCACACGTGTAAGAAAGGAGGTTAATAGTACAAGTGACTGCCTGCTCTAGGACATTTGGAAAGAGAAGCTTGTGGGGTTTTTATCATTTCCAGTGAAATGCAGATGAAGCAAGAAGAAAAAATAGGTGGTTATTCATGTTTGGTAGGATCCTTGTTGCTCAATAATTAAATTAATATCCGTATGAAGTAATATGCTTTAAAAAGGTAGACAAAGCGTGCTGGAGTAGGCAGAAGCATTCTGAGTGACCAAATCAGAGTTCCAGATGGTCTAAAACTAATGGGAAGAAACTTAGTGCAATAGTACAGAAATCAAACGTAGGCATAGAGGATGGGAGAGTGATTGGTTAGGCAGTCATATGAGGGTGATAGTGATGCTGTAGTGCACTAGAGAATAAATGCATCCTATCACCAGGAGTGGTGGGTATCAGAGGCTATTTTTCTACTGGTTTGGGTGTGCTGAGGCTGCAGTTTGGAGAAGTATCCTCAGTTTTGGATGATGAGCTTTAAAAAGGATGTAGACAGACTGGAAGGTTTGCAGAAGGTTGCAGTAATGGTGGTGCAGTTATATATAGAAAATATGATTCTGAGTAAAGGTTAAAACAAAAGTGTGTTTAGTAATGAAAGTCAGGGACAAATGTTATAGTTCTGCAAAGGGTGAGTTAATAAAGATACTTTTTTGCCTGTTCACAGAAAGTATAGCAAGACAGAGTAGGAAATTTTAGGTGGGATGTAACGAAACCACGGCTAATCAGAGCGATACCTGCACAATAGAACAAGTGATACTGGCAATGTTAGAAGTGGAATTCCACTCATGGAGAGTTTTTTTAGAAGAGGTTTGGAGCCTGATGGTTCTGTTTACTTCCCTGCTCTATTTCAGGTATTTTGGTGATGATGTGCAGAAAGGTTCATGTCTTTCTTGTTTTGCTGAAGGACTGCCTACCTTAGGTATTTGATGCATCAAGCATTAAACTCATATGTTTCTTCAATTTAGTCTTTTAAAAAAGCGTTTGAGGTGAGCTGAGGTTGAGTGGTTGGGGTGTAGTCAAATGCCTTTTAAAGAGAAAATTCATAGTTGTTTCGTGGGAGAAATTTCAGTGAATGTGATTTAGGTATTGAATGGCAACAGGATCAGCATATGCCTGTGCAGAAGTTTTAACTACTTAATGCAGAATTTACTGCTGTGCATCTGAAATCTTAGGGTCTTGTTATATGTAAATAAAATGCTTCCTTATTACCTCTGGCATAGGGCAAGTTTAAAACACGTGCATCCATAAAGGGCTTCAGTATCCTAGAAAAAGTCTCTGGAAGTTCACCATTGCCTTCATCGCAACGACCATTTTAAAGGTAGTGAAAATTTCTGAAAGAGTAGCAATTACTCTCATTAATTTAGGATTAAGCCATGATTATTTGGAACTTGCGTTTCTCCCCTCAATAGCTAAATGAAATTTTCACAGTTCCTAAGGACCATATGTTGTAGGACCTTTCTTAAGGTACATA